CATTTCAAATGCTCTTTTTTTTGTATTGTGCCCACAATAAATAAAGATCTTATTTGCACACGTGCACATTGACTATAGTGTTTGGAAATCATGTTAGGACTCTTGGGACTTCTCAGTGATACTCTCATTAGCAGAGTCATCCTCCAATGAATCCCTAAGTTGGCAAGTTATGTTCTGAATATTTATCCGTCTTCCATTTCCTTCCATTTTGGAATTGGTCAGCTGGATGGTATCCAAAGCAGAAGGACAACTTGAAATCCATATATTTTAATGATGTAGAGTAGTGAAAATAGAGAACAGGTAACATTTGAAAGGAAACCCAAGAAAATTGATCACTGGTGAACAAGCTCCAAAGACGGCAAAAGTCTGGTGTATTTATTGTCTCTTCTATAGAGAACCTGGACAATGTTTTCAATGTGCTTTTGGTTCCACAAAAAGGCAAAGAAAAAGAAGACTAACACATTCCTACCACTTCAAAACTGGCCTGATCTCCTGTCTTCTAAGTGCCCATTGTACTAATTGCATTCACATTGTCTTTCATATTTATTCTTTGCTTTTGCTTTAAACGGATTACACTTATTGCTGTATTTGTCAATTGTGAAGTTAGAATCTAAGCTATTTACTGTAGTAATCTACCTGCTCAACTTTTGGGGAATGGGTTTTGTTCTTCCATAATCATGAGTATTCTGATAAGAGAAATAAACAAAGGTTGTTTACAGAGAAGGGGGATATAATCTGTATTGTTTACAGGGTACATTTTTGTCAATATCAAGCTTCAGGAGCATCCATGGGGACAAAGAGGGCAAATATCAACTGATGCTGTAAAGATGCAGAAACAGAATATGTGACTCATTTCATAGCACACAAAATGTGTTATTAGGAATGCACCTCCATGGAAAACAAGCATAGATACTTAGGCACTAAACAAATAAAGCAGAGGGAAGTGGTGTTTGATCCTCAATCTTTGCATTGAATAAACTACACAATTAATTAATTGTATTATCCAACCAAGTTTAGCTCTTTCTAGAGCAGTTCAATGGAAACCACTTTTAATCCAATATATGAGCGACAGTGCCAGATGCTTTTACAAGGACACAGGCTTCAATGATGATGAATGTAGTTTAAAAGGTCTCACCTCCAATAAGGTTCATGATCAGTTTATGAAAGTGATGTTAAATTCAAACATATATTATGTCTGACCATTAATCAAAAAGGCTACATATTTAATTATATGAATATGAAACAAGGAAAAGGCATCACATTGAAAAAGCTATAACCTGACAACCAATAGCCATGCCATTGAAACTGCTCCTTCCGAGTTAAGCTAATGGCACTTTTCTATTGTTCTGCAAAACACCATCCTTCATCCAGGAAATGGTCAAACTACACTCTGCTCCTCCATTACTACGAAGGGGGCCAGTTACGGCTCAACTAGATGCAAACTGGTTGCAGTCCTGGCTCTGTAAATGTTGAACAATCTCCCCACAGATACAGAACAGCAGTAACCCAAGACATCTTCCCTCACAGAGTGGGCTCCCCTAGACTGAATCTTGGCCAATGAACATTTGAGTTTTTCTCTGTTTCTTAAAGCACACTGTATGAGTTTGCTTATTTGATTAATTGTATGGAATTGCATGAATCCTGCAGTTTTTGGGCTGTATCTTAACAGTTCAAAAGCCCTTACGGCCCCTACACACGGTGGCGCGCGTTGAAGCTTGCCGGCGGGCTTGTCTGAAGCTCGACCAACAACCAATCACATGAATCTCCCGCCCCGGACACACAAGCACGCGGTTTGATTGGCTAGAGCTTGTACTGGCATATGATTCGATTGGCTGACGCTTCCGTTGAAGCTTCAAAAGTAGAACATTGCTCTACTTTTGAAGCGAGCAACGCGAGCAAAGCGAAGCTTTGCTCCCACAATGCAGATCGGCAAAGTGTGACGTCACCCCATTCAAAGTGAATGGGCAGAAGCGTTGAAGCTTCAACGCATGCCGCCGTGTGTAGGGGCCGTAAGTGTTAGTTGCTTTGGATACAAAAAGGCAATACATGTAAAGCAATGTAATCAGAGCCAACTTTCACCAGGCGATCAGCCACTAGCATCCTACTGTATATGCCCCCAAGACAGTCTTCTTTAAGAGAAGTTGCTCCATGCTAACTCAATACGTCACAAAGTCCCTGCTGATTTTCCAGCACACATGTACAGCCCTGACACATTCTGCAGCATACTTGTTCTGCAGCTATACAATTCTGCCTAATTAAAGCTGTACAGTGCTGAGATGTACACTGTATGGGTCACTGGAGGAAACAAACACCCATGTCATTCCCCTGGAGCCAACTAGAGACGATGCATGCTTTCTTATATGGAAGTATCCGAAACATACTGAGGCCATAAGATAATTCACCTGAACAGGAACAATGCTCAGGTACACTGGGGCATACACACAATGCTACATTGGTACACGAGAGTCTAGTGTAGCCTAGATCATGTCAAGAAAACCTTCTGCAGCAGCATGCACCCTTAAGAAAATGAAATAATCCATGGGATCATGCTGTTCACACCTAATTGTGACCCTGTCATCAGGATACCTGATAGGACATGGGATATTTCAAACTGGGAAACAGTTATCCACTCCTTAGGGGTCATGTGTTGCTGGTAGTATGCCAAGTGTTTTTGCATCTCCATGTTTGACAGCAGTGAAATCAATGGACATACTTTTACAATGTAGCACATCCACTGGAAGGCAAGAGTTGTGATTTATGCAAAGTCCCTTTTTCTGACATCTCTGATGAACAAGACACTTTTTACCCACAGGAGTACTTTTTCTTCCCTGGTTGGAAACCATTGAAGTCAATTTGTTTAATTAAGTTTCTTGTGAATTAAAAAATGGACATCTATAATTATGTGTGCCTTGCTGTTTGTATACATGGAGTTTTTTGTAACATGCATATAAGGTTTACACAGAATATGTTTATGTTTGTAAATATATATTTTAGGCTATGTTGTGTTTACTTATGTGATTTTTACCCCTGTGTATGTTCTCCTAAAATACAATACATAAATGTTTTATTTACATTCCAGGTTTTTACTTCACTCCTTTAGTTGTAAGAAAGCAATGTGTTAGAAGAAAACTGACTTTAAATAAGGTCAGTGTAGCATCATTTTTGCAAAATTAGGGCAAGTGGGTTTTAGTTCTGCTCGAGGCTGTATGTCTGAATGACACAACCACCCTTTTCAGTACAGAGCTACAACCGTATTATCAGTGTTGCTGCTGAAAAAGATTCACGTACAAGAAAAATCAACTCACTGACCCCAGTATGCTGTGTGAGACCCAGAGTTAATTAAACAAGTATCAAACAACACAGCAACATACTCGAGAGCCAAGACAATGGACGGAATAAATTAAATATTACCAGTGGCCAGCACATTACCCCCAAAGGCCAGTAATATAAGTCTGAAGAATACATATTTTAGCTGTCTATATCCCCGAAAAGAGGCACAGAAGTTGTGTAGGGTTTGTGTTAGCTCCAGCTCAAAATGAAAGCTTGACACTCTTCTACTGCATGGCTTTATGCTTCCTTAAAATGTATATTGCATTTCAAGTGTTTAGTTGAATATATGTCTCTTAAATATATTATATTGACTAACAGATTCGGAAAGTGCACATTTTACGCAAAAATACAATAATGTGATATCACACACAAACAATAACTGCCTGGTTAATTTTTGCATGTACTTTGTTGTGCTATATTTAAAAATACCATGTCATATTTTTCAGCTTATTCAGAAAAAAATAGACAGTATTGAAGTTCAACGGATGGATAAAAGTAAGCTTGGTAAACAACACCACAATTGTTTTTTTTTGTGTTCAAATAATGATCAAATGTGCAATTTTTGAGAAACAAGAAATTGAATAGAGAAAGTGCATTCAAGTGCAAGTTGTTGAAAACACACAAAACACACACACAATAGACACAATACCACTTTCCTAACAGCAGTTTCCTGGCCATTACTACGTCCACATCAATTACACACGCTGACACACTAATATCCCTGACCATGATAAGATTCAAATTGGTAACAGCAACAGCAATGGTTAATCAATACCCTAATTTACCAACAATCAATGAGCAGCAAGCGCAATAAAATATTGTTATGAGTGAACCATCTAATAACACATGAGGAAATTACATAAAACCATGGAGAGAGAATAAAAGTCTAACAAGCATAGATCAATTAATTAATCTCTGAAATACAAGCACCATGCAGAAGGGCTACACCTGAGAACACACACACACACACACCAACATATCATAGTTCAAGATTATATTTTCGTATTTATTTTTCCCTTGACAAATGGCTATCCCAAAGAGATAAAAACTGTACTTTATTTCTGTAATAACTTTTTCATTGTATTACCTGGTCTAACTTTTTATACCTATTCTCCAAATGTGGTTAAATTGTTCCATAAACTGAGCCGCTATGTGATTACACACTGTCTTTGCAGAAATGGTAGGTCAGAAAGGTCAACTAAATCCGTTGCTCTTTTTTTGAAGGAAAGAACAGTGGTGATCTATTGTCGCCCTATTATACCGTTTACCAAAGTTTCACCTGTTGCATATTGTGAGTTCAGTGGTGCTTTAGCTTGTTTGGATGAGTTACCATTGTGTCCTAACATAATGGATTTTTCCACAAGGTATTTTTAACAACCACGCCTGTTCTGAACATAAATATCCACCCCTGAAAGACATGTTATGTTTTTCCTTTTCAACATTTTGATAATTGTATGTCTTTACAACAGGAAACATGCACTGCACAATTTTGCAATTTTACACTTAACCCTGACTTATTCCTCCACTGCAATTTAGAATTAGTTCGCAAATAGGAAATACTGAATCAGACGCAGATAAAGGGAACATTCTGCCACATCAACACGTTTCACATCACCACAAAGACTGCTACAGACACATATATGATTACTGGAGTTTAAAAAGTGACTCACCAAATGGTTGGTGGTTCAGATCCCTCCACTTCCAGGTAGTCGTACTTCTCCTCCGTCTGGAAGTCTGTAAAGATGAGAGAGATGGTGTCTCCAGGTTCGGCCAAAAGGATCCAAGTACAGTCGGCCTGGTTACCATAGTTGCCGGGGTAACCGGGACTGGTCACCACCCCACTGCCGCCCCTCACAGTGCCCCCACATGTGTCCTCAGCTGTCAATCAAATCAGAATGACAAATAGAAAACCTGGGTTAGGGAGAGGAGGAGGGACCGAGGGGCGGACTTTTTAAAAATTAAATTTCTTTGTTTTTGGATAAATGTTTTTGATTTTCACAACCATATGAGATGGGGTGGATCCATTAACAAAAATATCGATATGATGTTTTTACCAAATTAGCAATTCAAATCCAATTCTCAATAGACCTAACATTATTTATGAACGCTTTGAGTAGATTACAGGTCAGACAGCCCAATCCCCACTGCTCTCCCGGGGTTTTTTCTAAGACAATGTTTTAGTATATTACATAAACTCTTTGCTCTCCACTGCTAATGTTATTTTGTGGCCTAGTTGTTAGAAAATAGATGACTGTCTCATGAAACTGTAAAGTCATGTTAGCGACCCACATTGTGAAATTTGGAGCTCTTACGTCACACTAATGCTTGGTAAGATTCAAACAGTCGTTATTTTGTGGACAATCAGTTCTCTGCCATGAAGCCGGTAGATTTTTAGAAAGTTTCTCTGTTTTATTTTATCCAGTTAGAATCAGGGTCGAGTCTAGAGGTTAGGCTGCAGTTCCTGTCACCCTCATATGCTGTCCTCTCCTCAATTAACAAGGTATGTTTTTTCTCCAATCACAGTTCTCCGCTCTCGTCTCCTCCAATCACCACCAAGGAACTTTAGATTCAACTATTTCCCAATTGGCTGGTATAATGTTGGGGTATCAATTGATCAATTAGTTCAATCAATTTGTTTCAAATGATATGGACCAGATATATTTTCCCAATTTTCTGAAATTGTTGATTTCATCTGATGGATAGTATTTTTCAGAATTGATAGTACTGATTACTGTATAACAGATAAAGACACATGGATTGCGCTGTGCACACGGCATAAATTATACACATATAATTTATACAAATACACCCACTTAGAGAAAAAAATACAACATTGGACCTTTTGCCACTGGGACATTTGCTGTGTGGCAAATATTAAAGAGGGCTGTGCTCAATTCACTTCACAAAACATCCTTTAAAAACAGAGGATGCCTGTTTTCATCAAAAGTGAATTGAGCCCAGCCTAAGATCCACTGCCCCAGTGATAAAAGATACAATGTTGAACATTTGTTCTCTGAGAGTGTAAAAGTTCAACTGGAAACATAGTATAAATTATACCGGTATAATTTATAGTTATACATAAAAGAGGCAATACTGTATGTTACACACTCTTAGAGCAAACCTGTATTTTCCTACATACCAGTGAGTGCAATTTGGGATGACATGTGATTTATAATGCTCTGCAACACATCACATGTTGATATCATCGGTATTTAGAGAAGACAGAGAACCACCACGTGTGTTGTCCTTAAACTGCACTCACTGATAAGGTGAAAAAGACACATCCTTTATAAGAGCGTAGCCAGGTTGCTGTCAGGTATACATGCACATCCTCACCCGGGCGGGTTTTGGGAATGCATGTACAGATGACAGAGATAAGGGAGGGACCATGCCAGACTCCACCCAAAGGAGGGGTCATGAGAAATCTGTGGTCCAAGATTCACATCAAGCAACATACAATTACCAAAACAAATAAATGGTAAACACATTAGAAAATATATAAAAAATCAGACGGAACAGAGTGCACTGAGTAGAGACAGGAAATACATAGAGGATAAACAGGGTGAACATAAATAGGAACAAACAGGGAGAAACAGAACTAGAGTGAAACAAAAAATATAAAACCAGATTGAAATAGGCACAGGTTTGGTATAAACTGGTACATTAAACGGAATGGAACAAAATAATTGGTTTGAAATCAGTTTTACGAAAGACCAAGAGTCTTTTTTCAATAGATCAGAGCATGGCGTTAGGAACAAAACATGCCTTTCATTTATTTTAATCTGAGCGTGAATGATGCTCGAGTCCAAATGTGTTGACAAGGACTGGTGACAAGACGTGCATTGTGCCAAACGACAGGTGCTGATGTAATGAAAATAAGGTAGAGAAAGGCATTGTTTATTCAGCAACAAAACAATTCATTCATTCAAAAAGGATCATAAAGGCATATGAGTCAGTTCGATAGACAGGCAGGCAGGCAGGCAGGCACTCACAGAGAGACCCTTCAGTTATCCAGAGAGACATTCATTCCCCAGCTAGACAGTTAAGGAGATTTGTGTAAATGACCCGACACCCTGAACCAAGCCCTGCTGAGACCCCATCACAGTCACATGAGAGAAATGATCCAGTGGTGTGTGTGTGTGTGTGTGTGTGTGTGTGTGTGTGTGTGTGTGTGTGTGTGTGTGTGTGTGTGTATGTTCGCAGCATGGGAGAGAGGGCTGCTTGCAGGATGACAGCTGTCACAGGCATATCATGACACCAGGATGTACACACATACCGGTGCACACACATACACACACACACACACACTCACAGATACTTGCACACATCTCTTCCAGGCCTCCAGTTAATTGATGAGCTGGTGACACTTGACTGACGGGTGGAACGACCTCAAGGCGAACTGAGGTGTGGCTCTTATTAAAGAAGAGGAAATTCACTTGTGAAATAAGGAATTACTGACTGTAAGAAGCGCTCTTATGTGCAGTGGACCTTTGGAGAGCTTGACATTATGATGTTGTGACATTAAGAGTTTCCATCCATGATGTTCTCTGATTTTGTCTCACTAAAAACCTTCATTAATGTGACCTACGGCATACAACTATTTGTTATCATTACTTTAAAATAAACCGACTTGAATACTGATGTGGAGAAAAACCTGAAAGCCATGTGAGGACTCCATGTGATAATTTGTGATGACACATGATGCAATTAGGATCCTCGCGTATTCTGTTGTGTGTCATCTTGGAACGCAAGGGCTGTGCAGAGACCGCTTCAGGAGCATCTGCTCTAATAAAAAGTGACATTTGCTGGGTGTTCGCAGGGGGAGGGGGGAGAAGTTCTCATACCTATAGCCAACCCTGATTACCTTCTGCTAAATGTGTGTGAATCAGACATGACATGGAACCAGTCAACTCTGCATGTTGCACCTGCTGATGCTGGATATCGCTCGCTCCTGCTCCATCAATCATAACGGCACATCTGCGTGACACTGTTAAACATTACCGTCTAGATCACATCATTTTCTGGGAGCATCATTTCCATTTTTTATGTTTACTGCAGGAGTTATGTGTTGTTTCCTTTTCAGTAATATTACAAACATAATGTCACTTAAACATAATGTAATGGATGAATGATCTACATTTTGGAAAACTACATCCTTTGAATTGATTGAAGGAATGGATTTTCATTAAATACAAGTCTGATCAGCTCCTAGTGGACATTTTTAAATCCAATAAGCATTAACATAATCTGTGGGTGACTACGGAGCACTGGGGTCAATGAAGCATAGCCAATGTATGAATGAACTTTGGCATCAAAGTGAGACAAAACATGAATGACATGTCTTATCAAATCAACACAAGATGATTGATTATGAAGTGGCTGATATTTGGTGAATAACCCTGTTCAGTCAGGGTTGAATTTATAGATGAGTGCCTTGCCTATATTCAAAATACTGGAATATGGATTTGGGTAATGTATTACATAAAAGCACATTTTTTATTGGAAAATCAATCCACAGTAAATAGATGTATCTTTAAATATTAATCTCTGCACCTCACTTTGGGTTAGTTTTTAAGTTTGACATTGATACTCATCTTAATTAAAATGATTTCTTGAGATTTCAACACAACAGCGACAAACGCCATGTCACCTTGTTTGAACCACTTAATAGGGGATAATGTATCACATGTGAAAAATACTAGAACATTAGATACATGACTACAAAGGGTAAATATATAAGTACAGTAAGGGCCCTGCTGTGTGGATACACTGTATGCATCCTGTTTTCTGCTCTTATTTAAACCTTGGGAGGCTGGACTCACGCTCATGCCCCAGTGCACTGACCCACAGGAGGAGGAGAGTGTGTGTGTGTGGAGGTGGATGCTATATGTTAGCGTGAGTTTGACTGTATGTGTGAAAGGAAGAGGGAGAGAGTTACTGGGTGTTTCTCAATCGCGAGTACGCTTGCTTGGTAGCACATGTCTGCCGAGCATCTTGCTTCAGAAGCGAGTCAAGAATACTTCCTGGCATTCGGAAAACGAAGTGTGGAACACGCTAGCAAGTGTGCAGGTGTGCGTCATATGAGAGGCCCTGCCTTACATCTTCCGCCACAGATTTGGGGAAATTGGTCCGTGCGCAAAGCATTGTGGGGATTTTAAGACCGCGGAGTCTACTCATGTGCAGCCTCGATATTACTCCAAACGGAGTACGCCGGGCTCGGTAGATTTCCAAGTATGCTGGAGATTGGAACAGTACTTCGGCGGCACTCGATGACGTAGTATGCTTGAAATAGTGGCTCTGAAGCAGCTTTACTCGCGATTGAGAAACACCCACTGTTGACCATGTTGCCTTCATTTCTTATCACATCAGTAAGCCAGTGTTGCCCTTTTTCCCTCCCTCTCTCCCACTCTGTACTTGCTGTTGTTGTTGTAGCACTAATTCTTTTTTTCTCTACTGGTGTCTGCTCACTAGACCCCTCCACCACCCTTTTCTGCATCAAGATCATTGTTTTAAGTAAAAAGGCACATATCCTCCTCTACTAGTCTCTCTTTTTTGTTATCCTCCTCTCCCCCCTGTTCTCCCCTCCCTGCTTCCTGTTCTTTTCCTCTTTATCCTTTACTGCCTCACCATTCCCCCTTCCTAACTATCCTCGTCTCACCCTCCCTCTCCCCTACTCTCTCATGGCCTGGGGTGCTTTGATCACCCGTTCTTAGCCTCCTTATCCTGCCTCCCCTCTCTGCATCCGTTCATCCCCTCTTCCCCACTGTGCTGTCATCAATATCGCAGTCATCTGAGGATTCCTTCTTTATCCTTCTCCGTTTTGCTGTGTCTTTCTGTAAGATCTTACTCTCTGGATTTCACTCGCCTGGTCTCCCCCC